GAGTCGAATCTCCGTCCCATCAAATATGCTTTCCCTTTCTGTCGCGGAGGCGCTATTATGTGACGATCAATCCCACTATTCATTGATAAAAGAATAGCCCAAGAGTTGACGGTGGGTGGTGATGACTAGCAGCCTACCTATAGTCTTACACTGCTAAATTTGGAACGGCTAGCGAAGATAGCCTTCGTGTAGCTTTGCTCGAAATTCATAACAAACCAAACCAAAGCGAGCTGTCGCCGCCTAGTGGATTATGATAAAAGCATCTTTACAGCTCTCTTGCCAAAGATGTAATATTGTTTTGAATTCAAAAAAAAAAAAATAATGGTACGTGAACATGAAGAATGGTACTTTTCTAATCCTACAGTCGGTCCTATCTCTCCCTGCCATCTAAGTATTAGACACGTCTGTTATCTGGTATCTTGGACTCAGTACGTTACGGTTTCATTGTATGTATATCTGAAAATTAATCACACACTCGGGAAGTGTATTTCAGTCAACGTACAATGAACTCCACCCCCCGTGTCATTTCGTGATTTCATTTTAGAAATTACTGATCTAAAATATAGGATCTTGAAGAGCATTCATTGCTCCTCCATTTCGCTGTCCTTGTTCGTCGAGGTTTCACATAGAACGTCCTACGCCACTGGTGTTTCTTTGTTTTTTTTATCGAACGCTGGGGGTGTATTAGGGATAACTAGCATGTAATATAAGAAAACAAGTTCCGTTATGTATGTCACGCCATAGTGTTGACTAACCTATTTTTTACGCACGATCTTTGGTGGCTGCGAGCAGAACAGAATATAAAAATACCGTGTTATAATTACCGAAATCACGAGCCAACAAAAAGAAAACTTCACTATCCAAGACTGAAGTTTAAATAATAGAATGACAACAAATGTAACGAAAACTGGCAAATGCTTTACTGTTGTGAAATTTAGTTTAGCACACTTGCTTGTGATGATGTGAAAACCCCGCATTCCAATGGAACACACTTCTATTCTAGGACATTTCTGCAGTCCAACAGCTTTATGTAATGCGAGTTTGGGCGTGATAGTGAAACAATCTGTGTGTTCGGGATTGTATACACCTCATTTATATATATACCGGATGTTTCAAACGTCACTTCCGCTGTTCAGACGACTAAGTTCAGAAAACCGATGGACACAACTCTCTGAAAGTTGGCGTGTAGTCTAGTTTGATCATAACAGTCGTTTGTAATAAGTTCAGCAAGACCATACTACATGGCACCTGTGGGTATATAGGTCCGGGCGTGGCCCAATAGTTAGCGTGTCGAATTATGTATCTCAGTATCCCTAGTTTGTGGCCCGTTTAAACAAAATCGCACTGAACACTTAGGATTCTTTGTTACGTTATAAGAGTTACAGTCAAATCCCAATAGTCGTTCAGAAAAGAGTAGCCCAAGAGTTGGCGGAGGGTGCTTTTAACAGTTGCTTCTTCTCCATCAATGTATCAGTTCAAAATTAGGAACGACTAGCGTGTGTGTGTGTGTGTGTGTGTGTGTGTG